GTTTAAGTTGCAAGGCCAACCAAGAAGAGTGACAGAACAGACGAACGGCGTCAATTCGCGTCTGATTCGTTTCCAAAAGGTTTCTAAAGCGAAAAGATAAAAACTAAATAGAAGGCCACATTACTACCTACCTATCTACGTCAACAAGAACTACTAAGTACATGTACTATTCAAGTACAATGCGTACGCGTAGCAAACCACGACTATAAAGAAAGCCGCACTCGCTCAGAAATTGATCAAGTTATCCTTTGAGGGAACACAGCCAGTCGACGTCTTCGAGATCGAAAATCTCCCAGTTATATTGCAAAATATCTAAGACAACGCTGTTTGAGAGCAGCTATCCCAAGATGACCACCAGAAAACACTACTATTAGGCATAGCCTACAGAATCTACAGATTATCTCTGAACACCCTACAGGTTAACCTTATGATGTTCAGCGGTCGCGCTGAGGATTAACTGGTGAAGTAAATACGGAAACTGGATGCAATTATCAAGCTTGGTGAGCCTTGAATGGACCATCGACTGGGCATAAGAATAACTGACCGACGTACAGTAAGGCCAGAGCGCTTAATAAACTATGCCGCAAACGGCGAGATTTTTCTCCGCACTGCGCTCATAACTTTGCCATAGCTTTTCTTCAGTAACAGCTTCACTGGTACAGGTCGTTGCCGCCCTGTGCAGATCGATTTCACGGTAACAGGGAAATTCGCGACATTATTGAAGCAGAAAAGCGGGAAGGCCACGTAAAAGAGTTTTTTTTTTTCATCGAAAGCGCCGAGGTATTCCACTATAAAAGTGTATTTTGAGACCTTATTTATTAGCCCTACAGGCCTAAGCGCAAGCGATCTAGTATGTTCGAATAGCAATAGAATGCCGACTGATTCAGCATGTGCTCTATGTGCTAATTTACTCATGATCTGCAATACCACATCCGGCTTTCGATGCTCTAGTACACAACTAAACAAAATTCTATCTTTCGCAATCTAAATTCGAGTGCGCCAAAGCACGTCACTCGCTGGATAAAAAAGCTGTTTTGTTTTGTTTTAAATTTGTGAGTCAAGTAGTGAGCTGGTTTCTTCTTGACTTTCTCTAAGAACGTTAATTAACACGCAATTACTTCTTCGAAGAAGGAATGATGTTGCCACTTGAAGTGTTAACTCAGTGCTAAAACGAAGCGCCAGCAGTTCACTGGCTCCGCAACGGTCCACCGTTACCATCACACCCTGTCGCGCTTCAACGTACACCTTCTCGAAAGCTGGACTCAGGCATTCCTTCTGCCGATGCGTGAGCCATTCAAGGTTTTCCTGAGTCGTGTGCACTGCATTCGCCGTCACGTTCGATTTGTCCGATTTGTATCACTATCGCCTGCTATGGTGAGTCGCAACATCCGCTTGCATCTGGACAAACCCCGTGAGAGCTCAGTGTCTTCTTCATCAAGTACCGACTCGGTTGCGAGCTCCTGGAGCGATGGCGAACCGCCAGCACCCCCATTTCCGCTCGCAATCGCTCTTCGAGATGTGATGGCCGACGCTGAAGCTCTCCACGACCGAGTGGACTTTGCCACCTACATCGACATCGCAGAGTCGCCTCGACTGCCACTCTGCCGAGATGGCCGAGAGCAATGGAAACGCCTTGAACGATCCTCAACGTTCACTCTGCTCAAGCGCGAGGACGAAGTGTTGGCTCTCGCTCGCTTGGATGCAAGCGTCGAGGAAGTGGCCAAGATCTTGGGAGGCACCACAGACCCGATGCATGCTGCAGCAATGAAAGCGCTATATGGTGACTCGTTCATCGCCGGCTCCGTGGCATATATCCAGCGACCTCGGCCGTACGAAGAAGACCAGGTGTATCAGCAGCTAGCAGTAAAGTCATCCAACTTTGTGCACTCCGACATGCTCGGTAACAACGAACAATGGTGCTTTGCCGAGATCTTACGTTGCAAATCCGATGGAGATAGCTTCACGTTGACTCAAGGTTCCCTATCTTCTCAGCAAGCACACTCGTTGCCTGCACGATCTGCACTAAAAGACAGTTCACGGCGTGTAGCACAGCTTCGTGACGTGACGGCGGCTTATCTGGTGGAACGGATGCCAGGTAGTCATGGACTTCGAGTCGTTTTCCATGCAATTCACAGGCCTAATGCGACAACAGAACACGAAAACGAAGACAGAGTTCTAACCCGCAGAGTTGTTCGAGCCCGGTTGCTTCGTCTCGGACGTGGCATCTCTCAGCTCTCCCAACTTGCTCGTCGTCGTCGCTTTGGCATGCAAGTGTACGCCGACCGCTCGGCGTTCGATGAGCGCAATCCTCGCTGTATCTGCTGTACACGAAAGTTCACGATACTTTTCCCGCGAACAAGGTGCTACCTGTGTGGCTACTACATTTGCGTAACGTGCTCGTCATCTGAGAAGATGGAAACGCACAACGGCCGCTTAGTCTCGATCATCGTTTGCAGCCGATGCAGGAACAGCGTCACGGCTTGTGACTACGACCACATGATGACGGTGATTCCTGGTCCAGAGCGAGTACTACCGGACAGTCAGAGTTGCCTCCTTTCTCCTACGTCGTCTACCACGTCTGACTCGTCGAGCTACTCGTTTGCAAGTTCGGATTCTTCGTCCAGCCTAATGCTGGCAGATCTTTTGGATCAAGTCGCAGATGACGACGAAGACTCTGGACGTCGGCAAGCAGCGTTTACAGTGCTTAACCAATTGATCGCTGCCGATCAAACAGAGACCCAAAATCAGGTGGACAAGAATGCAACTCTCCTACGCAAAGCGAGCACGTCTCCGCGTTCTCTGATGATGGCGAAGCAAGCGATGGATGTGTCCGAGTGTCCAGCGGATCTGGACGCTTGTAAATTCGCAAGCGCCGAGTCTCGTCCGTACCCCATGATAGCGGCCGTGATCAAGAACGAAGAAGAAGAAGAATCGAAGGAAGAAGATCCCGTTAACTATCCCATTCCCTCGAACGAGGAAGCTCGCATGGCTTCCATCGAACATTTCCGTCTCCACGATGTCATCAACGTCCCAGAACTAAACGTGATCTGTACACTCGCAGCAGCCGAGATGAACTGCCCGCACAGTGTGCTCACGCTTGTGGAGCGTGACGTGGTGACTCTAATGGCAACAAATGACCCGGAAAACTGGGATCTCGGTAGTGGCAACCCGCGCGAGCAAACGTTCTGCCAGCATTTCGTCATGGACGACAAGCCATTGCTGGTTCGCCATGCTGAGGCGGACATGAGGTT